CTCTGGGCAGGGCACCAGAAGGTGGTGGGTTGAGCAAAGAGTGAGAGACCAGGACATGGATGTAGCATCTATAAAAACCAGAAAAAAAAAATGCTTTAAAAAATTTGCGGTGATGACTGAGGATCTTCCAGGAGCCAAAACTAGGATTTTACTGAAAGGTCTCTAGGTGGCAAAAACAGTTTGCCCTCAACCACTAAGCTAGAGGTTGAAGGTTCAAACCTACCCAATGGTGCTGAGGAAGAAAGACCTGGCAGTCTGCTTCTTTGAAGATTACAGCCAAGAAAGCCCCACGGAGCCCAGCTCTGCTCGGTAACACAACAGGGTCACCACGAAGGGTAGATATTAAACAAGAGACTCCCTACTGACCAGGCAGAGGGACACAGAGTAGCCTTCACCATGGAGGATACAGGCACTAACACAAGCAGTAATAGCACCAAAAGGCGGGCCAAAGCCCACACAGCCTATAACACAAGGAAGCCATGCCATGTGACCCATGACCTCCCACAGAAAGACAAATGGCAAAAGCCAGCAATGGGGCACTAAACCATCAGAAGACGACAACGGTGGTTTAAACTCATTAGCCCTTTAAGATATCACCCCCCAAAAAATAATAATAATCCGACATCATTTCTGGCACAAAGTAGGAGGTGCTATACTCAAAATCACCTCATTCATTGAGCACCTTTTTGGGGTTTCATTTATTTATTTTTTACTGTATACCAGGCACCGCCCTACATGTTTTACTTGTATCACATCTATCTATCCTTGCAGCAATCGTGTGAGTTATATACAATGATAACCCCCACTTCACAGAGGAGGAAACAGAGACTCTGGGAGACTTGTCCAAGGTCACACAGCAAGAGTGCTACAAGACCAAGTTTGAGGCCAAGTATCGGTTCTGCCATCAAAGCTGAGCCACTAGGCCATCACAGCCTCTCAACTCTGGACCAGCAGAAACCTGGATGCATTCCCAGATGCCTGGACTCTTCCCAAAATACAACTGCCTGCCCCAGTGTACTTAGGGTCAAGCAATCTCACACTTGTATGGAAGGACACTGTGTAGCCATTTTCAAAGTGCTACAGAACAGCTTAAGACAGGAAGATACCGACAAGTTACAGCAAAGGGGGGAAACCAAAAACCAAGCTCACTGCCACCAAGTGGATTTCTCACAGAGACCCACATCAGGTTTCTGAGGCTGTAAATCTTTACAGAAGCAGACTGCCCAATCTTTCTTCCATGGACCGACTGGTGGGTTTGAACCACTGAACTTCTGGTTAGCAGCCAAATGCCTGAACCACTGTCCCAGCAGAGCTCCCAGAGAGGGGAAGAGTTGGCAGTGCAGCAGCACCTCCAGTTCGATCCCCTTCTGGAACAGAAAAGTCCAACTGACAAAAAGATCTTACTGAGTGGGTGGGGGGCGGGATCCCAGGTAGGCAGGGTCTCCATGGGCTGAGGTGGGGAGGAGGAAATTCATGGGGAGGGAGCTCCCAGAAGGCACGGCACCAGGCTGGGGTGATGGGAAGCCAGGGGACGGCTACAGTGCCAGGCTGCACCCAAGTGTAAAGGCTGGGGGAGCTAGTGGGCAGGAGTCGCCAGTCTGGGACGCCGATCAGCCCGGGCCAGAAGGAGCCACGGAAGGCTCATGAGCACAGGAGTGACTGACGAGAAGCGTACTTCCGAGAGCTCCACTCTGGCAGTGGGGCGTAGAATGGACACAAGGCGATGCTGCTATAAAGAGGGGGAGCAAGAGAGGGCATGGCCTTCTGATATTGGCTCGTCCGCCCTCTTCCTCTCTGGCTTGTCACCCTCTACTCTGTCTCTGGGTTTGGGCGGGGCTTACCTCCCCACCCGACTCCAGCTCCAGCTCAAGGGGTGGACATGTGATCCAGGCCTGGCCAGCCAGAGTCCCCAGGACTGGTTCAAGAATGGGCACATGGCCCCAGCCAGCTCGAGGGCCGTCAGTCTGGGAACTTCTGTTAAAACCACTGGCAAAGAGGGACTCTCCACTGGCTGGCTCTGCTCGTGGCATGCGTGTCACCACTCAGACAGCAGTCCCTTCTGTGTCCTGAGAAGGGGCATGGCCAAGGAAGGCAGAGCTCAGAGCCGGGAAGAGGAGGTGTGCCCTGGGCAGCATGACCTGCAGGGACCATTTCCCAGGATCCTCCAGCCCTGCCTACCACTGGCTGCCTTTACCCCTGGATTTCTCTCGCTTGTACCTAATAGAGCTCTGATCAGCACGCGTGCACAGAGCTGCAAGGGCAGAGGTGACCACAGAGGCAGTGACAGGGCAGTCAGTGCACACGGCAGGAGCAAGCAGACGCACCCAGCACCCAGGATATCACTTTTAGCCCGGGCTCCCAGCAGGCCTGTAATGCCAAAAGAGGAAGACAAGTGTTGAGCAAACGGCGTGGCGCCACAGCCCAGACACAGGCGATCCTCTGGAGAAGAGGTCCCATGCAAGAGAGGCCAGGCCTGGGGCTGAGCACAACAGGAAGGGCAGGCTGGAAGGCTGGGTGGGAAACTGCGGGAGGAGGACGGCGGAGAGGAAGACCGAGGCCTGGCAGAGCGGGGAGGGAAGGAGCGTGTTTAGGAGGGAGAAGGCCTGCCAACCCAGGAGGCGGGGGGCTGAGGCAGCAGGAGGACTAGGGGCTGTCTGCAGCCCTGGGAGCCCCGGTGCACCTGTGACAGGGCCAGAGTGGGAGCCTTCCTGTGACAGTGAGAGACCAGCAGTCCAGGCCACAAAGAGCCCTTCCTGCACCATGCAAGCCGGCAAATGCAGCAGGTGCACACAAGCCCACGAGCCCCGATCATCCTGCCTGCCTGTGCCACCGCCAAGCTGTGTGATCTCAAGCAAGTTCTTAACCTCTCTGGGCTTCAGTGTCCTCATCTGGAGACGGGGCCCAATCTCAGTGCCGGGCGCACACAGCTGCTTTGACAGGGCAAGTGCCGCAGTTGGCCAATAGCTGTGGGACTAGCTGTGGTTTTGATTCCACTGCCACTGGGTTACGGCAAGGGAGGAGGACGAGGTTTCCCGAGGGGAACACGGCCACCACAACTCGCCTAAACATTTGTCCAACAGATGGCTTCAGAAGGGGGGGCAGACTTCCAGCTTGAAACAGACAGAGGCTTCAGATCCCCCCACCTCCTCCCGAGGATCAACAAGCAGCCAGGAGGCATTTTCCGGGCCCAGGTCTGCCAGGCCTCCCCACTGCCCTCCTGGTCCTGGGGGAAGAGTCGGAGCAGAAACCCACAAAGCCCCCGGGAGGAAGGAAATGCTCTCCAGCCACAGGGAAACCAATGACTGGTGGGCAGACGCCCAGAGGCCAGGAGCATCCGCTAGGAGACCGGTGGCCGGAAGCTCTTTCTTCTTAGGTCACCTTCTCCTACTCGGTGCCAGAACAATAGCTTCAGAGGCGGAACCCAGTGTGGCTGGAGGCTGGGGGGTGGATGGGTGACCAGCAGAAGAAAAGAAGCCACTTGGTTACTGCCTCCCTACCCACCCACCGAGTTCAGGGAGGTGGAAGCTGGCCTGCCGACAGTCAGAGTCCTCCAGCAGCGCCTGCGTGTGCGCCCAATCAGGGGAAGAAGTCGAGTGTGCTTGGTGCTGTTTGCAAAAGCACGCACCACTGAGCGGGAGACCTGGGTTCAAGCCCCGGTCCTGCCAACCCTGTGACCCTTTCACCTTGTGAAACGTGAGTTATTACTGACTCCACACTTCTGATCATTTAAGCCAATCTTCTGCAAAGCAATGAATAACTGCCCAGAGGTGGCTCCCGGGAGAAATTTTAGTTGGGAGACACGTATTTAAAAAACAACAACAAAAAATCCCCGTAGTACCATCCAGGCCACAGCAGACCCTCCATAAATGGCCTTTGAATTGAGTGAAATGTGAAACCTCGTCTGGTTAGAGGCAGTGAAAGCAAGGAGCAGGGCTGTTGGATTCATACGATGCTCCTGCTTCAAGGAGCTTGGGCTGAGCATCCCGGACCCACGGCTCACTCAGCCTCACAAGAGTCCCAAGATTGCAAAGGAGACACGGGGGCCGGGAGGGGAAGGAACTTGCCCCTCATCACCCAGCTAGGAAGTGGCCACTCTGGGATTCAAACCGGGCCATCCGACTCTGTGCCCATATCCTGACCCCAGGCCCTGCCGCCTTTGGTCTAAAGATGTCTTTTTCCAACTTAAGAGACCCAAGCTCTGAAACCTCACAGGTAAAGGGTCCTGTTGCCAATGCCAGGGAACCGGTTTGCCTCTTTCCTTGGGTTCAGGTCACACACACCACGTGTTCTTTCTTTTAACAGGGCCGGCCACACACAACACATGAGTGTGCAAAGGGCACTACCCTTAAGGTTCCAGCTCGATGAGTTTTCACACACGAGCACCCCGTGGAACCATCTCCCAGATCAAAATCTGGGCCATTTCCAAGTCCCACAGCCCCCTGTGCTGCCTCGCCGCTGGTCACTGTGGACCCCAGGAAGTACCCGGTTCTGATGTGTCACAGCACAGGCAGTACCCTCTTCTATCTGGCTCCATAGTCTTCAAAAAATTTAAAAAAAAAAAAAAAAAAACGGTTTGGTTCTGCTGTCCATAGAGTGGCTGTGAGTCAAATCCAATGGACGGCCTCTAACCACCACCACCACCACCACAACCAGGACACAGACAGACCGCTCTGGCAGAAAAACAGTGCAGCCCTCGTTTTTTTTCTCCCAGGCAGCAGCCCCGTTGCCTTTATTCCGGCTCACTGACTCTCCGGCGGGGGGGCGGCGGGGAGAGGTTGCGGCTGGAGTTTGGAACTGCAAGAGCTGATCTTGGCCGGGGAAAACCAGCGACCCGCTGGAGGCAGAGGCACTGTCCCCTGTGCTCCTGGAGAGCGTGTAATGGAAGCAAGGGGGCCCGCTGGGCCAGCCCTGCCGCCCGGGATGTCCGGAGGGGGGAAGGCGTTACTCCGGAGGCTGTGAGACGCTCACAGCAGGCCCCGGCCGGCCGGCGCGCCCCCTACCTGTGCACTGCTGGATGAAGTCCTGATACTCCGCGCCCTGCTCCCCGGGGACGATGGTGGCGCCCTCGTACTTAAAAGTCACCCTTTGGTTGGAGGAGAAAAGAACAGACGTGAGCGTTGGGGTGGAAGGCGCCGCGCTCCGGCGGGGGGCCAGGGGCGCAAAGGCGCAGCGCGCTGGCTCCGCGGGGACCAGGGACAGCGCTCACCAGATGACGGCCGAGCCGTCGTCGCGCACCAGGTTGTACGCCGCCCTGCAAGCCTCTTTGTCGATCCTGGTGGCCATCGCTTCGGCGCCGCCGCGGACGACCTGCCCCGGGAGCGAGCGAGCGAGCGAGCGAGCGAGCGAGCTCAGGGAGGGCGGCGGGGACGCGCGGGGCAGCGGGGACGCGGCGGGCACAGAACAGCTCCGGCTCCGAGCGCCACGGTCCCGACTGCGGAGGCGCGCGCCGGCGCCTTGCGCCCCGCCCCCGGCTCCGGCCGCCATCTGCCATTGGTCGCGAGCCTGGGGGGGCGGAGCGTCCGTGCCATCGGCGGCCAATCCCGGCCTGGCGGGTTGCGCAACTCCCAGGTGGGGGCTGGAGCAGGGTTTTTCCGCCTTTCGTCTTCTTCCTCCCTTTCTCCGATCCTCCCTCTTCTTCCCTCTGTCCCTCCCCTAACTTTCTTGCTCCGCCCCATTTCCTCCTCCCAAGGCCTCTTCCTTCCTTCCTCTTCCCTCCCCACCCTCTCCCTGCTCCTCCCAACTTCTCCTTGCCACCCCCACTTCCCTCACCCCTCTCCCCTCACTGTTTCCTCCTCCTCTCCCCTCCTTCCCCCTTATTTCCTTCCCTTCCCTCATGCTCCTCCTTCCACCATGTCTTCTCCCTCCCTACACCACCCCTCTCCTCTTCCTCCCGCCCCTCCACCCCTTCCTCTCCCTCCTCCCTCTGTCCCCTTCTCCCGCCCCTCTGTTTGCTCACTTACTCCCTCCTCCCTACTTCTTAATCCCTCTTCCTTCCCTCCTCTCCCTCCTCCTTATGCCCTTCTCCAGACCCTGGACAAAGACATCATGCTTGGTGAAGTGGAGGGTCAGAGAAAAAGGGGAAGACCCTCAACAAGA